TCAAGGATAAAGGAGGGAACTTGTGCTTGGAGGCAGAGGATACGGGGGAGATGCTAAATGAGTACTTTGCATTGGTATTCACCAAGCAGAAGGACATGGAGGACAGTTAAATTAGCGTGAGGCATATTAATATGCTATGGCATTTTGAGGTCAAGAAAGAAGTGGTGTTGCGTCTCTTGAACAGCATTAAGGTGGATAAGTCCCCAGGGCCTGATAAGATCTACACCAGGTTTTTGAGAGAGACAAGAGAGGAGATTGCTGGGGCCTTGACCAAGACCTTTGTATCCTTACTAGTCACTGGAGGGGTCCTGGAGGACTGGCCAGTCATAACGTTGTTCTTCTGTTCAAGAGAGGAAATAGCAATAATCCAGAATATTATAGACCACTGAGTCTCACTTCAGTGGTTGGGAAGCTATTGGAAATGATTCTTAGGGATAGGATTTACGCACATTTGGAAAAGCAATGCTCAATTAGGGACAGTTAGCATGGCTTTGTCACATCTTACTAACTTGATTTATAAAAGTTTGATGATGCTGCACTTAGAGTATTGGCTTCAATTTTGGTCACTACATTACAGGAAGGATGCGGATTTGGAGAGGGTGCAGAAGAGGTTTACTAGGTTGCTACCTGGATTGGAGTCTATGAGCTATACAGAGAGGCTGGACAAACTTGGACTGATTTCTCTGGAGCAGCAGAGGTGGAGGGGAGACGTGATAGAAATTGATAAAATAATGAAAGGCATGGATAGGGTTGACAGAATCAATTTCCCCCAGAGCTGAAACGTCTAATACTGGAGGACATGCATTTAAAGATAAGGGAGGAAAAAGTTCAAAGGAGATGTGAGGCGTTTCCAGGGACACTGGTGGAAGCAGATATCACAGGAGCATTTAACGGGCTTTTAGATAAGCACATGAATAAGCAAGGAATGCAGTGATATGGACCATGGGCATGCATACGGGAGTTGATTAATTTGGTGTCATGTTTGGCACAACATCATGAGCTGAAGCGCTTGTTCCTATGCATCAGAATCTTGCACTCTGACGACCACAATATTCATGCAAAGCAATCTGAAAACAATGAGCTAGTGTAAACACTACAGGAACGCCAACCCGGATTTAAGAGAGGTTGCATAAGCATGAATCAGTCAACCCTCCTCTCAGGGGACATGTAATAAAAAAAACTTGAATTTTTCATGAGGAGTAGCAGCTTATTTTGCCTACTGAAGTGGTAGATGGCTTTCTGCACTGAAGAAACCTGAAGTAGCATGGAGAAGGCAAGTGTCTTTATGTACTACATGTGTAACAGGAGAACGCAACTCTGACCTCAATTGCCTGAGTCACAAAGAGACTCTCAAGCAGATTCACTCCTCCCCTGGTTACTAATCAAACCATCTGCTTGTTTCCTGTTCTGGAATCTTGTTTGCCTGATTGACAGCCAAGCCAGTGAGACTGACATCCAAGAAAGCAAACTTGGAAAAGATGCACACAGGAGTTCAAACTCCATCACGTGGAGAGACCTGGAATTCAAAGTTAATTGTCCAAAACTCCTTCCTTCCTTGTCCTACTGATAATATCCATGCTGTAATCTAAAATGGCTAGTCAGAGAAGTTTCTGAAGTGTGCTGGAAAGAAAAATGGCCAAGCAAAGGAAACCTAAACTACTGAAACAAGTCTGAACTGGCTCCCTTGTAAGCATTTCACAACAAAAGAACTGTGCAACAAGATCAGCCGTTCAAGACAGTTGAGAGGTTCGAAGACAATGGATGTTTAAACAGTTTATTCTGTCTTGCACACAACTGATAGCTTGTGAAAACAGCATTAAGTTGTTCAAAGGAAAAGACATAGCCCCACAGATGATCACATTTGAGGGGGCACATCTGAACATTTTAGATATCAAAGGAAAAACAACATAGAAGTAGAGGTTTGCAGCCTCTCTTCAGAAACAACCGTCGCACAAGACTTTGAGACAAAGGGTCAAAAGATGATCAACTGTCTGATATTACGCCTAGCCAACAATTTTCAGTTATGGTAATATTTGAGCTATTAGCTTGAACTGGTTAAGTGCCTGATTAGGCATCAGCTACGCCAAGAGGCCAGCATTTAGAGTACTCAAGTGAAGTGTTTTTAACGTAGATTGAAAGTGAAGCTTTGTATGCATACTGAATATTGCATCTGAATTGAACAACATAAAATTGCATTAAATTCCAGTGTGGTCAGTGCATAACCAAGTCAACAAGGCCAATCTCTTAAACAAAGTGTGAAAATTTTCTCACAGACCCAATGTTTTCGATCCACATCTTCATCTGCGTCCCATTTTCTTGTTAAAAATGGATGCTTTCTACTGATGATTTCTCCTTCAAAGAAGGTGGTAAGGGTTGGATACTCCTGCATTGTACAAAAAAAATTGAAAAAAAAAACACAAAACATCAAAAAAGCATCTGCCTTGACTAAGAGTGAATAGCATAATAACAAATGACTGTTCAAAAGCAGAAATATGAAAATCAAGTTTATGACTGGTACAAAGTAAAAGAATAATCAAACTAGAGCACAGAGTTGATCGTTTTAAGTGCCTGAAATCAAAATTCAGTCCAAGCAGCTGAAAAAAAGTCTAATCAGAAGACGCAGTGCTATTCTTTAAGTTTCCGTGGACACTGCAACCAACTGGGACACCCAACCTAACAGCACTAGGGGTGTACCCAAAACGACATGGACTTCAGTGGTTCAAGAAAGCAACTCACCAACATCTTCTCACAGGCAATAAGTGATGGCCTGACCAGCAACATCCAAATCACACAAATGAATCAAAAGAAAAGAAGCAAAACAAGCATGACATTAAAGTGGTGAATTAAAATGCCAAGCATCTGGAAGCTTGCCAAATGAGCAGAACAGTGGTCGAACTATTCCCTGCCCGAGAGGTCCTCAAGGTTTCCTCACAACCACTTCTTGGTTTTCAGAGGCTCACTTCTTATTTTTACTAACTTCTTCATTAAATAATGCAGTCATGTAGTAACAAAACCCATTGTTTTTGCCTTGTGCTAAGTGGGGAGGGGAATTTAGACTTGCACAGAAATAGAATTATAGATCTTTATGAAAAAAAAACTTCAGTATTAAATTGTTCAAAGTTCATTGCAATAGTATCAACATTTTTGCCCACCCCCTCATTTTGCAGCTTGTGAACTCCTGCAGACTCAAGCTAGAGATTCCACATCAATTTGCAAGGAATTCATTTCCTCGGTTTTCCCGGTTCCCAGTTTTGAGTATTCCTTTGTTAAAACATTTAAAATTTCTGCCCCTATATTATCACTCCCTCCCACTCTCTGCAGCCACTGATTGGAGGAGGACTTTCTCAGATTCCGACAGTCGTACTTAGTTTTGTCTGACTGGTTGCCCCATGATTGAATTTTATCCAGGTATTTTGAGGACTTTGGGTAGGGAATACCCCCAACATCCCAGTCTGTCGGCTGTTGAAGGTGTGGCTTTTCATTCCTCCAATAAACAGGAGATTGTATTGTGAGCAGTGTATACTAAATTAAAAGAATTATGACTAAACTCTGCTTCATCTGAGGAGAGCATTTGCGGTCTTGGACTGTGAGAAGAATAGGCGTTACATATCCTGTTATGACATGGGAAGGTGCCATTGGAAGGATCAGTGTGTTTGCGGGTTGATAGAGGAATTGACCAGGTGTTATGCAGGGAATGTTTCCTTCAGAATGGAGTGGAAAGATAGATATGTTTGGTGCTGGCATCATGCTGGATGTGGCAGAAAATATGTTTGTTGTTGTTGCTGGCATAGCTGAAAGCGGAGAGAAGGGGGCTCTAAACCAATCACAGCTCTGGGAAGGAGGGAAGCGCTGAGAACAAAGGTGCAGGAAATGAGCTGGATGTGGTTGACAGCCCTGACTAAGTACTTTTTTTTGGTAGGGAGCAGGTGATGGACACGAGAGAAATGGTGGATTGCCACTGAGGAAAAGATGACAAGCGAAAGCACTGTTGTGGAAGATTGCATCATGAAAACAGTGACTGAGATGGAAAAGCTGAGAAAACGGACTGGAGTCTGCACAGGAGGCAGGATGTAAAGAAGTGTAGAACAAGGTAGCTGTGGAGCTTTCTTTTCAAACTATTCTTTTGCTCCATGACAGCTTTTTTCACTTATTCTCCCATCCTCTACCCTCTCCAATCCTTTCCTTTCTGTGGTTTCTCCCTCTCACCTTTAACAGCATAAAAATGATCATATTTCCACCTTGATTCAGTGAAATTATATTTGACTTCAAGTGTTAACTGTTCCTGCCTCCACAGATACTTTCAGATCGGAGTATTTCCAGCACAGAATTCAGTTTCATTAGATTGTCAATCTAGTAGAGACACTGCAGCAATAGTCAAATCAGTCACTTCAGCAAATGTAATTTTTAAAAAGTGCCATTGAATACTGATGCATATATTTAGTAAAAGGAAGAACAAGTCTATAAAAGGAAATCATCATAGTACAAGTGCATTCTTTTCAATTGGGGGGTTCTGTAGCATTCTTCTATTCAGGAGGGAGGTAGAAAGAAAACAGGAAACTGCAATTAGCTTGACATGTCACGGGGAAGGTGCTAGAATAAGTTGTTAAGGAGGTTATAGCTGCAGGTAGAAAAACTCAAAGTAATCTCAAAGAGAAAGCCTGGTTTAGTGAAAAGGAAATGTTTAAGCAACTTACTGGAGTTTTTTTGCAGGTGTAACATGACTGTGGATAAAGTAAAGCCTGGCCCAAGACCTTGAACTTACAGAAGGCAAGTGATAAGGTGCTATATTTAAGTTCATTGTGCAAAGTAGGAGTTCATAGTTTATAGGTAATACAGAAGATTGGTTGGCTGGCAGAAAATGTAGTATATAAATTAATGGGGCTTTGCCCCGTTGGCAGGATGAGATGAGTCGAGTCCCACAGAGATCTATACTGGGGATTCCACATTTTACAATTTACATTTTACATTAATGACTAAGCTAAGGAGAGTGAAGGCAAGGTTTGCAGATGACAAAAGATGGGTAGAAAAACATGTTGTGAAGAGGTCACAGGAGGATAAATGGATATAGGCTAATGGAATGTTATCCCTTGTTGAGGAATTGAACAGAAAAGGAGGAATATTATGCCTCTGTAATGCACAACATTGGTGAGACAAGAACTTGCATAGCATGTGTAGTTCTGGTCTCTTATTTAAAAAAAATATAAAATGTATTGTAATTGTTTAGAGAAGGTTTACAAAATTGACACCTGGAATGAGCATTTTGTCTTGTGTGGAAAGTTTGAACAGTCTGGGCTAGTTTCCACCAGCATTTGGAAGACAGAAGGGCAATTTGATTAAAGCACATATGATCCTTAATGGACATAAGGTAGACTGGAATGGATATTTACTCCTGTAGGTTAGTCCAAAACTTATTTTTTACCAATTTTACATTCATTGTAGTTTGATTGGACTGGCATGTATTACCACCGGAGTCAAAATGTTGTAGGTTCAAGTCCCAATTCAGAGTCTTGAGTATGCATGGTTGCCTCTCTCCAAGTTAGTGACCGAATTAAACTGAAGCATTATCTAGTCATGTTGATGGCTAACTTCCACAATAAAAAAATTGGTTAGCGAGTACATAAAAGATTGGCTGGTTAACAGGTGGACGGCACTAGGTAAGAATGGGTTTTTTTCAGGTTGGCAAAATGCAACAAGAGCTGTGCCACAGGGATCGGTGCTAGAACTTCAACTGTTGATAATTTGTACAAGTCACTTAGATTAAGGGACAGAAGATATAGTTGCTGAATTCATTGATGACAGATACAGGGGGCTCGGCTAAAATGCGAGTTCCGGCAAGACAAATTGGCTATAATGCAACTGACGAATAAAGGAACACTATTTTTAAAACATGAACTTGTGCTGGCTGTAACGTGATTCTACCACTGCGCAGAGGAGTACGCGTCAACATCACATGATCGTTTCGCAGACTTTGTCTTGAGAATGCGCAACGTTAACATAAAGTTACCTTAAGTCTACTCTAGGTCAAGCTAAAGTAGTCAGGTGACATGGCAAATATTGATGATGTTTTGGAAGATGTTTTTAGAAAGTATTGCAGGAAAAAAAAAATTTGGATTTTAAGATTCTCCTCATCCTGGATAATGTGCCAAGCCATCCTCATACTACTGGTGAGCTTTCTGAAAACATCAAAGTGCAATTTCTACCCCCAAATACACCCTCTCTCCTTAAACCATGGACCAGGGTGCAATAGCAGCTTTTAAAGCTTATTATTTAAGGCGCACATCTAAGAGGCTGATTGCAGCCACTGAGGGGGATAAGGACAGCGTTCTTCAATGTTGGGAAGAGCTTTATCATCAAGAATGCAATTAACATGATCGTGGAGGCCTGGGTGATGTCAGGAAGGATTGCTTGCATGCAGTTTGGCAGAAGCTTCTCCCAGATTATTTTTTACGATTTGAGGCTTTGATCCATCAGAAGAGCTCCCAAGAATTAAATAACATTGCGTTGATCTTGCAAAGCAAGTGGAGAGTGAAGAAGTTGAAGAGCTGCTCGAGTCCCACTGTGAAGACCTGTTTACAGCTGATCTACAACATCTTGTCACTGCGGGGTAAGTGGAAGCTAGATATGTAGTAGTAGTTCAGGATGCAGCACCACCAGAGCTTTCCACTTCTGTTTTATCTTATATCCAGAGGGAAACTGAGAAGCAGTTGTAGCTCTTAGAGGACAACAATTACAATGCAGAATTGCAACAGGGTAGCGGTTCATGGAATAAGATCTTATTAGTACCCTATGAACAGCTTCTTCATGAAAGAAGAAAAAGAGCAAAGCAGCAAAAACTGAATGCCCTTTTTAAGCCAACCCCCAAGTAATAGTCAGAAGACAATGAACCACAGGCATCCACTTCTGGATGAACTATTTTTTGCCCTAACCCTGCAACTACAACTGAATCTGAAGGTGGTGGTGGTGATGATGATGATGATGGTGACCCTCAGCCCCTGCATTAACAACAGAGCAACCTCATAGCTCCTCCCCATCAAGTCATCTTGACACATTTTTCAAGGTAAGGTGTTAAATTTACTTTTATTTCATTATTAGATATGAATTATTTGTTCAAACTGTGCTATTCTTTGCTTTTGAGTGATTTTTGAACGATTTTGAGTGATATTTTTCAGTGGTCTGCCACTAACCTCGCTTTTCCCATAGGCCCCATTATTTCTATAGCGCAATTTTCTATAATGCAATGTTGCACAGGAACGCAGCTATCGTGTTATAGCAGAACTCCTGTATAGGGAGGATGAGGAGTTTTGAGGACAAAAGGAAGTAACAAAAAGAGATAGTGACAGATTAAGTGAGTGGGCAAAGACGTAGCAAATGTGATGTTATCCATTTTGGCAGAAAGTTTTTTTTAAATCCTATCTAAATGGCAAGAGAGATTGCAGAACTCTGACTTGCGGGGGGATCTGGGTACCCTCCTGCATGAATTGCAAAAGGTTAATCTGCAGGTACAAGTAATTGGATAACAGTACAATATTTTCATTTATCTTAAGGGGAATTGAATGCAGAAATGGGGAGGTTATGCTTAATTCATACATGGCATGTGACATACTCCTCTTGATGTACTGTGCAAAGTACTGTCACATTATTTAAGCAAGGGTGCAAAATGTAAATTTTCTTCTTTTGTTCGGGGCAGCACGGTGGCACAGTGGTTAGCACTGCTGCTTCACAGCGCCAGGGAGCTGGGTTCGATTCCCGCCTCAGGCGACTGTCTGTGTGGAGTTTGCACATTCTCCCCGTGTCTGCGTGGGTTTCCTCCCAAAGTCCAAAGATGTGCAAGTTAGGTAGATTGGCCATGCTAAATTGCCCATAATGTTCAGGGAGGTGTAGATTAGGTGGGTTATAGGGGGATGGGTCTGGGTGGGATGCTCTGAGGTTCGGTGTGGACTTGTTGGGCCGAAGGGCCTGTTTCCACACTGTAGGGATTCTATGGTTCTTATTGCCTTCATCACAAATCTAATACCCGGGAGTTTTTTGGGTGCTTGTCTTGTGAGGAAAGGTTGAACAAGTGAGGATCATTTCTGCTGGAGTTCAGAGGCCTAAGAGGCTACTCAATTCAAACAAATATAATCCTAAGGGGTCTTCGCAGAATAGAAATGGAGAGGATAGATCTAAGAGTGACTGTTTAAAATCAGAGGTTGTCCATTTAAAATAGAGATTAGACAATTATTTTTCTGGGAGAAGTTCTGGAAGCAGAGGTCCTCGAATATTTTTAGTGTAGGGGTAGATAGATTCTGGTTAAGCAAGGGGATGAAAGGTTACTAGGGAAGGCAGAATTATGGATTTGAGCTAACAATCAGTTTAGCAATTGAATGGCAGAGCAGGATCAAGGAACTGAATGGCCTAATCCTACTCTTGATTCATTTTTTGGTATGTCATACTGTATGTTAATTATAATAAACACAAGAATAAGAGGAGTAGATCATACGGCCTCTAGAGCCTGCTCTCATTCAATACGTTCATTGATGATCTTCTGCCTGCTTCCCATATTCCTGGATTCCCCGAGACCAAGAAGCAGTCCACTTCAAAACTTAAATATATTCAACAATGGAACATTCACAACCCTCAGGGGAAGGAAGTTCCAAACATTCACAAGGTTAGACTTTTAACTTGGTTTTGGCTAAAGAGAGAGATTTCAAAGTGATAAAATTGAAATTTCTGAAATCATGACAGGGTTTAACTGAGCTCATTTAGCTAACCTATTCCCTATGTTAATAGGGTAGATACACTTTCAGACAATGAGGACAGAGAAAAATCAGATGGATTCTTGTTCAAAACAAAACAGCATCATAGCTGTATTGTAATCTTCCACAGTAAATTGCAGGGAAAAATGTAAAAGTAGTGGAAGGCAATTTTGAGTAAGAGGAGAGGTTTTGGGAAAAGTCAATGATATTACACTGAACAGTCTTTGCGGTTTATAAAAGGTCCCTATTTCTAGATATGGAAGACTAAAACTACCATGATCTGCAGAAGCAGTGTCACCTATAGAAAAAAATGAATACTTTTTCCTCAAGTCCTCAATCTTATGATAATGTGACAAAAATGTTGAATCAGTTTTATTATTCCACGGTTTTCACAAAGGTCCGATGGATAAACATACCACTAATGTTGATCCATAGTCATCAGAGGGATCAGGTTTGACTCTTGATACATGTTATTTTGGCAAAACACACCAAACTTCTGTTCAGATGGGATGATGGGCCAAGGAGCGGCAGATGGGGTTTAATTTAGCTAAACATGAGATGCTGCACTTTGGAAAGGCAAATCAGGGCAGGACTTGCACACTTGATGGTAAGGCCCTGGGGAGTGTTGCTGAACAGAGATACTTGGAGTGCAGTTTCATAGTTCCTTCAAAATGGAGGTGCAGGCAGACAGGATAGTGAAGGCAGCTTTATTGGTCAATGCATTGAGTATAGGAGTTGGGTGGTCATGTTGCAGCTGTGCAGGACATTGATTTGGCCACTTTTGGAACACTACTTGTGATTCTGGTCTCCCTGCCATAGGAAGGATGTTGTAAATCTTTTCTGAACCCTTTCACGTTTCGTAAGGATGTTGCTGGGGTTGAAGGGTTTGAGCTATAGGGAGAGGCTGAATAGGCTGCGGCTATTTTCCCTGAAGCATTAGAGGCTGAGGGGTGGCCTTATAGAGGTTTATAAAAGCGTGAGGGGCATGGATAGGGTAAATAGCCAAGGTCTTTTCCCCAAGGTAGGGGAGTCCAAAACTAGAGGGCATAGGTTTAAAGAGAGAGGGGAAAGATTTAAAAGGGACCTAACAGGCAACAGTTTCATGCAGAGGGTGGTGCATGTATGGAATGAGCTGCCAGAGGAAGTGGAGGCTGGTACAATTGCAATATTTAAAAGCCATCTGGATGGGTTTATGAATAGAAAGGGTTTAGAGGGATATGGGCCAAATGCTGGCAAATGGGAGTAGATTAATTTAGGGGATCTATTTGGCATGGACAAGTTGGACCTGACAGTCTGTTATACAGCTCTACGACTGTAATCTCTCTTGACTAAGGAAGCAAAAGAATGATCAAAATAGCAATCCTGATCACAATGTCAAAATCTCTGGTGGAAACTACACATACAGTCTTTGGGCAAGCAGCAGATTGGATTTTGTTATAATGCTTTCCATTAAATGGTCACCATTATTTACAATCTAGGCTAATGGTAACCTGAGAGTATCTGGCACTTTACTGTAATCCAATAACTTGGTGCCATAAGAAGGAAAAAGAAATAGGAGTGTAAGTTTTCACTCCAGTTCAGACACACCTGTTTCAGAAGAAAATTTCATTCTGCAAGGGGAGAACACATTGGAAGGACTTCTCTTGGCTGACAACATATCATACAAGTCAGAAATAAAGATGTTGAACTTCAACTGAAAGATGCTAACTGCTTATTGATACAGTTTTGGCTGACTGGTTTTAAAAACTATTTTAGTAAATGACTGTATTTGGCTCAATCTGTATTCTGAACAACCTACCTCAGTGAGCCCCTTGATCTTTAGGTATCCACAGAGAAATGAGTTCTCCATATCAACGTGCTACAGAAAAGAACAAAAAGTTATTCAGAATTTGCTTTGTTTGCCCTTATCAAGGCAATTAGATCCACACAGAGTTATTTAGGCAGACATTAAAATTAGCAAATTTATTTATGCAGAAATACTGAAAAAATGAAACATTTTGTCATGAAAAATAGTTGAAGGAACCATTGAAGCCTTTGAGAGAGAGTAACATAGGATAAATTTGAAATCAAGCCAAATGCAAGGCTCTGGGAAGACTGCAATAGATGGGGATTAGTCTAAGTAATTTAGAGAACAGTCTGCACAGAGACGATGACCAGAATAACATCTTACATGCAGTAATCCTCAATGGTCAAGATGTGCAAATTTTTCCCCCGTCTTGCAGATGCTGAATTATGCTAAGGGACAATTCCACATTTCTGACCTTGGTTTGTTTGTACCACCAGAAAGATAAGAAGTCACAAGATAAAAAAAAAATGTCACTCGGCCAACCTAGTTCACAAAAGGGCTTGCATGGCTTATGACCAAATAATTATGATATGAGTTAAGAACTCTTGTTCCTCTACCCCTTCATGCCTCCCTGGAAGGAAATTTCAAAGTCTCATCTGTGTGAAGAAGCTTCTCCTGTTCTGTTCTAAATATCTCAGAATTAATCCTGTAATTAGTCTAACCTGACCCAACCACTGAATTTTAAAAACTATGATATTGTCCAGTAATGTGTATTGAACTCAAACTGACTCAAATTTTAATGTTTCTTAGCATCATATTTCTCATACTTGGCAATGACCTAACAGATCTGCATCGCAACCTATCCGAAGCCCCACTATTCTAGATTCCGCTCATGACATATCCGTCACTGTCTCTAGCTTCTACTGAAATCTTAACAGTTCATTTGCAGTCACTTCAAGTTTCCTCATCATCCTTTACTCTTGTGGTAAACTTCAATACTCAAACAACTTCCACAATTTAATTGAACAAAGCTGCCAAATGCATTTTTGAATATTTCTTGCCAGCTTCAGTAAATGTAGTACAAACATTTCACCTTGCCATCCTGTTGATTAAGTAACTTGATTTCAATTCAGAAGGTTACCAAGAGTCACATTCCAAAATGTCATGGTCAGAAACAGAATATAGCACCAGCCAAGCAATAACATAAAATGGAATGAGTTGCAACATAGGACATAGACTCCAGTTCCACCACTATGATTAGAAAAACTGCTTTAATCAGAAAGTCATGTATATCTCTGCCTTAATTACTTTTTCTTAAACTCAATTTTAAACAAAATCATTCTATATTACTGCACAGAAAATTGAATTAAGAATAATTTCCCTTGCTGTAAACATGTTATTTTCATTGTTAGTCTGAAGGGTAAAAAATGTTAAAAGTTGAAAAGCAGTTGGCTACAACCAAAATTATAAAGCTGTCACTCAGCTGAGCAAATTGCAGTCATCACAAACTGGAAAATTACAAGGTAAAGGTACACTTGTTGACAAATATAGGCTTATTTGCGTATTTATTTAATCTAGTGCATTTCTAAAATGAGCATTTTAGCCCCATAGTATTGATTGATACACGCTTGTCAGTGTAGTAGTACATACTAGAATCTCTTTAGAAGCGAAAGGGGCACATTTATTAATGATGGCTTTGATCTTTTTTAATAAAAGTTTAATTTGATGCTTGCCAATAAACATTTGGTACGAACTAGTTAAGAACACTACAGATTACAAATTCAAACCTTTATGTGCATCTTATGATACTGAAGTTTTAGGTCCAGAATCTAATCAGGTTGTTACAAATATCCAATAAGACAAGGAAGCTGGCACTCTTACACGGACTGACCAGCATGCACAATATGTGTTTGGTTCTATTGCCATTAGAAGTGGTCAACTAAATCACCAAGTTCTACAAGTTACTGCTTCAAATGGAAGGCTTATTTATCAAGGACAATTAGAACTTGAAAATAACTGTAGCCTTGTGTTCTCCATTCACTTTGAATGGTCGTGGTAGTGTAATAAAACCAAAAGAGGGCTCAGGATCTGAAAGGACACAACAGCAGCATTGGTGGTTAGAATTTACGAACTCTCATATTTCAATAGTCTATGAAAAAAATTTACGACATCAGAACTTCTGGCAAGCAGGTATACAATGCAGTAAGTGAATCAAGAAGGTCTGCAACTACTACAGCAAATCTTCGGCAAATAGCATTTAACTATCATGTGCTAGCCAGCCAGCATTATTCTTTTTAAATGCACTTTCATGGTTTCAAGTAATTTCCTTGAAGAGGAAGTTGAATAAGAATTGCTGCAAATGTCAGAAGAGATAAAAAGGTAATAAAAAAGGAAGCGTGACATACACAAATGCTTATAAAATGATACAGCTTCCTTTTAAATTGAGCAACAAACAGGTTCACCAACAGGTCAGTATAGAGACACTAAAAATTGCCAACTTTTTAAATGTTGCTTGAAAATAATAGTTGATACAGGACAAGTCAAAACACCAACGAAGTCCAAGCTTTAACTTTTATAGAAAGTTTTTTGGGTAATGCACTGGATAAAAATAAACACATTATCGTTGGAGAGGATTTCCCTACATCACAATTGTTGACAATTACTGCAGCTGATTTGTCCAAGTTGAGTTCAGGCAGAACATTAGTTTTGTACATTGGCCAATGAAGAGAAGGGAGAAAAGAATTAATCCTTGATTTCCATTTTAGTGACAAATGATCAGTTGCAGACTATGTCTAAATATGACACGATAGGACAAATAGCATTGTCTGCGTGATAACAATTCTGTGAATATCAAATATTGTCAGGACAATTTGTAATGCCCTCCATGATTCATAGCCTAACAAAATTGTCTAGTCACACCTTAAATGAATGGTTACTTCTAAGTAGTGCAGCTAGTTGCAGTAAGACCATACTCTTTCAAAAATCAGCAACTTCCAATAAACATAGTTGTAACATAAAACTGGGACATTAAAATGTTCACATTGTAAGACAAAAGGAAGCCAAAGGGATATCAAAGCTTCCAAAGATTTCACAGAATGAATCAGAGGGGAATTGGCAATAACTGAGAATCCATACTGACTCTGCTTGGAGGAAGAGAAGTACAATAATTAGGAACAAGAGTTAACTGAAAGGAACTGTAACTATAGTACTGTTGATAAAATAGATTGTGAGAAAAGAAGCTTTCATGAAGACCTTAAACAAGCAGTGAAGCAGATTAGAAACAGGAGAATACTCAGCTTTCCCAAATAACATTCCACTTCTGGTGGTCAACAGGTGTGTTGATGCAGTCCAACAGTAAGTGAACACCTGATCTTTCCCTGATGGCCCTATTCAGACTTTACTTTGAACCTCTCTACCATGATACAACCCAAATTGTTTAATTACTGGTGAATTCCAGATACAAGTATACCACATCCCTCAGAAGATGAAGCTCAGAACACAATGTTGTCAAAACTACGAACAAGGATATCTACACCAACCACATGCGATCTATAAAGCTAAAATCACTCAGCTCCGAGATAGTAGGAACTGCAGATGCTGGAGAATCCGAGACAACAAGGTG